CACAAAGAGTTAATCAAGGGTATCAGTCCTTTCGGGAACATCTGATCAAAAATCAATAGAATTGTTTGTGATAAACATAATTAAATACATATGATAAAAGGCCCAATGGGCTATATTTTTTTTTTCTCGAGCATGCGAATCGTAATAAAACACATAAAAAGAAAAAAGAAAAATAGAAAAGAAAAAGTAGAAGACATGCTCTGTTAAGTGGTCGCTGTCTTCACTCTCTAATCTTCTCTGTGTATTTGGCAGTTGAATTTCTCTGCATGCAAAATCTAATTTTAGATTTCGTGTTGGATTCTCAATACCTTATTAAATTCCCAATATACCCCTGTCATCAAACGTCATCGTTAATATCTCTCTCTTACACACATTCGGGTATAAATTTTTATTTTCTTTAATTATTTATCGTGAATTTAATGATTTGTCTATTATTGTGTTTCTCCTTTCTCTTTCACCATACATGCAAAATCTCCTGCATTTCTGTCTCGTTCGGGTAATTATGTAAATATTAGTGGTCCTAATTCCTAACTTCTTCAATTTGATCCTTTAGAACAGAAAAAATCAATTTTTTTTTGGGTACGTGTGTTTTTAAGTTCAATAACTACTCACATGTGAGATAAGATATATTTTGAAATTGGAATTATTTATTTAAATGAGTTAGCATTAATATATATACGCTGACATTACCAACCAAATGTTTCTGCTTTTATGGATAGTTCTATATGTTGCACTTGATTATAGATACTAGATAAAACTGATTTATTTAAAAGTCCGTACCAAACAAAACTGGACCGGGATGAGTGAGGTCCGTGGATTTGTTTTGCTTTGTAGTAATTTGATATGTGAAAAAAGGGGAAATTTATGATGTTTAGTTCAGTGTTTGAGAAAAGTCTCGTGTATTTTTAACTTGAACATGATGATGTCGATTTATATAAACACGTGTATTAATCTACTACAAATCCCAATGAGACTAGAACTCAAGATATGGAAGGATCTAATGAAATATACGTTTAGAGAACAAGAGTCGATTAAATACATATACTAGTAAGGTTAGATAACAAACAAATTATATTGAGTGTTTTTTAATAATCAAACCAAAACGCATGTTCTATCCAGGGGTATAAGGGTCATTCCATAGTCAGCATGAAGACAAAGAATCGTCTGTGTCCTAAAGATCTACAGCTGCTTCGCTTGTGAATAGAGAAGGAATTGAATGATAAGAGATCTCGTATATGGCCTTTCCCGTTTGCGTTATCTGTCCCGATTTTGGCGTTTGTTGACTTTTTTTTTATGTCGTCGCTTTGTTATTAGTTTTAAAGCTTAACAAAGATATGAGAAAGAAGAAAACAAAATTAAGAAAACTATTATGGAAAAGACATAAATAAACTAATTGGATATAAAAATGGTACTATATAATTTTGATGTTTGGTGGAATTTTTAATCATTACCAAAATCAAAGGAACGAGGGACCTCTTCTTGCATATGATTTCCCTCCAAAACAACTGCTCCCACTATCCTTTTTTTCTTCCAACAAAATCATTCACACGAGAAAATCTGTCTCTTGATCATACTTTCATGCAAAAAAAAAAAAAAAAAATTATCTTGGTAATTTTCTTGAAACCTCAAACTGTTGCTGTTTCCGGTATATTATTTGATGATACTATAAATGGGTAAACATCCTATCTGAGCGATAATTATTCTATGTAATTTTACGCCGTAATTTGTTTTTTTATATAGTGATTTCATATTCGTAGAATTGATCGTATGCAATATAAAATATGAAGATACGTTTGAGCTTGAAACTATATTTGGTGAAACTGCAATTATTCTTTTAATTTTTATTTTGTTGAGTAAATCTAATAAAAATAGATATGAAAACTTACAGAAAGGTTGTTATTTGTGAGGTCAATTGTATAACATAAACCGACTTTAAAAGATTAAAGTATGAATGACTGTCACTATAGTTTTTGATGTGCTATTTTTTTTAGTTAAAATGATAGTCGGAAAATTAATGTTGTTTGTGAGTCACAACCCTAAAAAAACATAACCGAGAGAAAAACGTAAAGTTATTAAATTTTTGTATTGGATTTATTTTGTAACAGAAGTGGAATATACAGAACAGCAAAAAACTGTTTAGAATTTGTCGTTGAGTTCTACTCGATTTTTTTTTTATATGATGTATCCCCTTATGGGAAAAAAGCAAAGCCTAATACTGTATGCTCATTTAAAAGATAATTTAATTTTAATGCTTTATTGATTAAATTTAAAGTTTTTGCTTTAATAGGTTACCACCGCTTAATCCATCATTAAAGAGAATATTAACTTTGATCAACATTCTTTATCCTTTTTTAAGCATAAGAACATCTGAGCATTTTCAAATCAGATATATCTGATGGAAGGCAATAATTACATGATTCAACGTAAAATTTTATCGGTTAGCCAATTAATTACTCTTAGTAAACAAAGACCTAATTACACAGTTCTACCTTGTTGATCAAGATTGTTGTAAAACCAGAAATAATATTTGTTTTACAATTATTTGAATTCCGTCTGCTGCATGTTGCAGGTATTTGACCAACGACTATACATAGAAAACAAATTATTCAACAAAAAAAAAAAAACCTTTTCAGTTCTACCGCGCGGTAGGATAAATAGCCATTTTTTTATAATAATTTTGGTTCCATGTCTTACAGTTTTTAATTTAGATTGCAGGGAAAAAACCCTTCTGAATGGTTGGCTACTAATAAATATAAAAAATAATACAAATTATAAGGTCTAACATTGATAAACCAAACCGTGTGTGTATAAGCCGAGAAGAAAATTACATGAACTTAGTTATAGTTAGGTTTTATTGAAAGCAAAATAAAGACTGAATCTAAAATTGAACAAAGAATAATCTATTTTTAAATTTTAAATTAAAATATAAGAGTGTAAATTCAAAACCGAAGACATGTCAACGTCTCGAACAATTCTATTCAAAGAAGGTTTTATTTTGGCTACTATTTTGTTCGTAAATAGAAAAACGAGAAATTTAAATGTAAAAGAGACGAATATTCATCAATTATAATCCAGCAACACGATTTCAATCAAACAATTTTGACTAAACTTCCATTTAAAGTTGGAAAAGAGAGATATTTTAAGTCAAAGTGATTAAAGATGGATGGGTGGTTCTTCAGCAAAACGGCGCCGTAGAGATGTCTTATCCTACATTACAGCTGGTTGTGGCAGACATCATAGGGCCTACGTATATTTGAGCTTTACTGTACGTAAAGCTTGAACATATCTAGTTAGTTCTTACTGTACAAACAACTCTATTCTTTCATACACACACATACATGATAAATTACGAATATAAATTAGTTTTTTTCAAAACTCTAAACTAACTTATGAAATCTGTAGAGAATTGAATTAACAGAAAATTATATGTACAGTCTTAACTTTAATCCATTTTTATCGTGCATGGTGCATCGGGATCTAGTTCGTCATTTTCCAAAAAATCTCATTAATTCAACCAGTTAATCTCCATTAATTTGTTGTTGAAGGTACAAACATGTTACATAAATAGAGACAGCATCGTGTACGCATAATATTGTTTGATGTATTGCAAAATCATATATATAAATACTAGCAGCGACCCACTTGGTTTTGGGATTTTGGAAGATAACGAAATAAAAAGATGAATTCAAAGGATGCAGAGTTATATATGTCGGGTCATTTAGAGCCGTGACCAAAAGTTTCGTCGTAATTTCTACGGTCGGTCATGAGAAAATTTTGGACTTTTCCTCGCCCTTTTGTGGACTTGTATAGTTTTTGTCGGTTTAATACATTTGTATTCGTATCTTATTTTTAATAATGAAACGTATGTTCACGATAAGAAAAAAAAATAAATTAAATTAAATTTCAAATTGTAAACTTTCGTTTTTTAGAAATGAGTCATATACAAGGTTAAAGTCTAATGGTATATCCAATTTATAAAATGTTACGAGAGTGCATTTGAGTGTCCTACCATTATTGTACCAACTCGTATGGGGTTTATCTAGTAGATATTCAGCGTCTTTATAATTTAACCACTCTTGATTTTTCTTTTAAAAAATTAGGTTAAGAATTCCAACTTCTTGTTGATTGAAACCTAAGATCTTCAATTCGCAAAGAATCTTTAATCTGTGTGTTTAAGTGTTCAATGATTGCTAAAAAAGGTTATTAATGATTGCCATTGAATATACTAAATGCATAAAAATAATTTGTGCTAAGCAAGAAAAACGATAGACAGAAACATAACAATCGTTAAATGATAGTTTTAAACATGTATGTATAACCACGAAAAGTTTTACTATGTATTTCAAGCAATAATTTTTTTGTTAAGATTGAACTATTATAATTGTATCGCGTTATGCGTCTCCCATTGCAACCAAAGAGTGTTTTTGCTGTTAGTTGTATTGTAACTCACATTTTCATAGCCATAGTGTATTAATTTTGAAATGTTTGCAAAGACTTTACGAAAACATATTATAATAATAAGGTGGAAGATGGGAATTTGTAGGGCTAAAAGCGAAAATGGAAATAAAAGTAAAGAAATGTCTTTCTCAATAAGAACACAGATCCCAACGGATTCAAACAGCAAATTTGTGCTTTGCTCTTCTCTCTTATAATAATATCCTCTCGAAACCCTCTCTATATCCTAAAGCTCCTCCCTTTTCTCTTCTCATCCGAAACAAAGAAAAAACAAAACTTTGATTTTTGCAGATAAGCTTAAGAAAAAAAGAAAAAGAAAAAAGATGGTGTGTTCGTTGTTTAGCCAATGATTGCTATTTAGCTTACCACTTCGAGAGATTAAAAAAAAGAGAGAGAGAGCAAAGATACATTATAGAAAGAAGAGAGGAGAAAAAAAAATGAAGTCTTTTTGTGATAATGATGATAATAATCATAGCAATACGACTAATTTGTTAGGTTTCTCATTGTCTTCAAATATGTTAAACATGGGAGGAAGAGGAGGAGGACGAGAAGCTCTTTACTCATCTTCGTCTTCTTCAGCTGCAAATTCATCTTCTTCTTCTGTTCCACCACAGCTTGTTGTTGGTGATAACAGTAGCAACTATGGAGTGTGCTATGGATCTAACTCAGCAGCAGCAACAGCTGGGGAAATCTATTCTCAAATGTCTGTGATGCCACTCAGATCTGACGGTTCTCTTTGCTTAATGGAAGCTCTCAACAGGTCTTCTCACTCGAATCATCATCACCATACTCAAGGTTAGTAGCAATGTGATTTAATTAACGATACTTTGATAATCTTTAAGTTTTTCTTTTTATTTTTCTTTGAGTTGTTGCTGTGTCTTGTTTGATGGGAACATGTTTTGTTTTAAGGATTTATGTTTTTTTTTTAAAAAATTTTTTGACGTTTTTCTGGTTGTTTTTTAGATTCATCTCCAAAGATGGAGGATTTTTTCGGGGCCCATCACAACAACACAAGTCACAAAGAAGCCATGGATCTTAGCTTAGATAGTTTATTCTACAATACCACTCATGAGACCAACAACAATACAAACTTTCAAGAGTTCTTTAGCTTCCCTCAAACCAGAAACCACCATGAGGAAGAAACAAGAAATTACGGAAATGACCCTGGTTTGACAAACGGAGGGTCTTATAATGTAGGGGTATATGGGGAATTTCAACAATCACTGAGCTTATCAATGAGCCCTGGCTCACAATCTAGCTGCATCACTGGCTCTCACCACCACCAAAGTCAAAACCAAAACCACCATCAGATCTCTGAGGCTTTAGTGGAGACTAATGTTGGATTTGAGACAACGACAATGGCGGCTGCTGCGAAGAAGAAGAGAGGACAAGAGGACATTGTGGTTGTTGGACAGAAACAGATTGTTCATAGAAAATCTATTGATACCTTTGGACAACGAACTTCTCAATACCGAGGCGTTACAAGGTTTTATTTTAAAAATATTATTTGACTTTTTTGGTTAGTAAAGTGTCTTGTACTTATTCTAAGGTTTTTTTAATCATGTGAAACAGACATAGATGGACTGGTAGATACGAAGCTCATCTTTGGGACAACAGTTTCAAGAAGGAAGGTCATAGCAGAAAAGGAAGACAAGGTTTAGTGCTTTTTATTTTATTATAAGATTGTTTTCTTTGAGCTAAATATATTGAAACTTTTCTGATACAATTTTTTTTATTTAATATGTCACTGACATTGACATTTTTTTTTTAATGTTTTCCTCTATGTGTGATTATGGTTTGATGATCCTCTTCTCAGTTTATCTGGGTAAGTACACACTTCAATCTTCATGGATTCATGATATCCCCCTAAATTTTCTCGGGAAATAATGATGGATTTTGACTGCTTTTTGTTTGATTGAATCTTTTTTAGGAGGTTATGATATGGAGGAGAAAGCTGCTCGAGCATATGATCTTGCTGCACTCAAGTACTGGGGTCCCTCTACGCACACCAATTTTTCTGTATACCATTTTCCCTAGCTTCCTTTTTTTTTTTCATTTCGAACTCTATATCTCTTTTGACGTAAGTGTTTAATATTATGCTAATGGAGTTTTTATGGGTTATAAATAGGTGGAGAATTATCAGAAAGAGATTGAAGACATGAAGAATATGACTCGACAAGAATATGTTGCTCACTTAAGAAGGAAAAGCAGTGGTTTCTCTAGGGGTGCTTCCATATATAGAGGAGTCACAAGGTCATTTAAATGACATTTTATTTAACTTTATAATATATAGTTTTCATTTCGTAGAAAAATGTGAAATATTGACTTTGTGTTTCTCTTATAATAGACATCACCAGCATGGGAGGTGGCAGGCTCGGATCGGCAGGGTTGCCGGAAACAAAGATCTCTACCTCGGAACTTTTGGTAATTTTTTGCTAATGTTTTTTTTATTGTGAATAATAAACACTTATAAATTGCTTGTATCTCAAGGAATCTTTCTTACTCTCTTAGGAACTCAAGAAGAAGCTGCAGAAGCCTATGACGTAGCAGCAATTAAGTTCCGTGGCACAAACGCTGTGACCAACTTTGATATAACGAGGTACGATGTTGATCGCATAATGTCTAGTAACACACTCTTGTCTGGAGAGTTAGCTCGAAGGAACAACAACAGCATCGTCGTCCGCAACAATGACGACGAGCAAACCGCTCTAAACGCTGTCGTGGAGGTTGGTTCCAATAAAGAAGTGACTAGTCCGGAGAGAGTTTTGAGTTTTCCGGCGATTTTCGCGTTGCCTCAAGTCGGGCCGAAGATGTTCGGAGCAAATGTGGTCGGAAATATGAGTTCTTGGACTACCAACCCTAATGCTGAGCTTAAGACCGTTTCTCTTGCTTTGCCTCAGATGCCGGTTTTCGCTGCTTGGGCTGATTCTTGATCAAATCTAATGGCTAACTATGGTTTTTCTTGCTTTAGTTTCCAAGTGTTTCTGCTTATCTCCGGTTTTATCCGGTTGAATTAAAATTCGGTTTAGTTTTATCGGTATAAATAGTATTTGCTTAGGAGCGGTATATGTTTATTTTGGGTAGTATTCATGTGAAACAGAATGAATCTCTCTATAACATATGATTTCAATGCATCTCTTTCAAATTCTTTTCGCTTAGTTACATATATATGAGTACGTAATTCCGTTGGTTTATTTTAACATAGTATTCATGTGATTAAGTAAATAGAGTTTGGTGAAATCATGGAAAATGATATCAATAATATTACGAGCATGATTATTTTGAAAAACCATAAGAACTTATATGGTTATTTACGTAAAGTGAACAATTAGTAACTGATTTGATGGCATTGATGATTTTGGCAACTGATTAGAATGCTAATTTCTTGTAAAGATATGGTAAGAAAATATGAAAAGAGAATGTGCATGGGAATGAAATGACCCATATCTAATAATTAGGTTTCTTGTCACTTTATTTTTTTTGATACATTGCTCTTTTAAATACATGTACAGAGATAATAAAATTGAATGTAAAATATGTAATGTCTCTCCAATAATGCGATTTGCTTTATTGACCATATCGTCCCACAACAATCCAACATACCTCACCACCTTATTACTAAATTCCCTCCTTTTGTCTCTTTTTCACACCCCACCGTATCAGCTTTTCCCTAAAGTTTCACCAAAATTTTAAAATATTCCCTCCTCCATGATATTTAGGGACATTAAAAAATGATAAATGTATATTTTAAATTTTAAGTCTATCAGTTTGGAGAATTTATTGCTCTGGAAACTTTTAAGAGCCACTTACAATGAAATAATTATGCCGGAAGCAAAATTACTGTACCCATACGTGGGGGGTAAATGAATGAGTGGTTCAATGCTGAAAGTTACCTTTGATTTTGAACATACGCAATGTCCTTCCCACATGTTTTCCCAATTTTCCACACGTGTGGATGAGTTGGGCCGTGGATGAGTATAATTACAAAACTGGCCTACTTTATTTTATTCGAGAAACACGTGTGATTTTATGTCTTTCACACGTCTGGAAGAGTTGGTTTTAAATCCGGAGGTGAACGTTGGGCCATGGCCCAAATTTGATTTCAAAATCTCATAAAATTAAGGTCTAATCAGAATTCTCCTAAACATAATTTAGGTTCACATGGAGACATGGAGTCATTTAAGCTTAGATATTTTGATAGATGATGGTTCCTGGTTATGCTCTCTTTAAAGATGGGAAACACACAAAACTCTCTTACCCTTTGGATCAGTTTAATTCGGATGTTTTGCATTAAGTTCACTTACAAATAAAAATCATGAAAATAAACAGCATAAACTCACAGTTAACTCACTGCTTGATGAAACTTTGTTGATTATCTCTATAAACAGACGTAAATAAGAACTAGATTTTAACCTCGTGCGTCCGCACGGGAATGTTTTATTTTTTAATTCTAATATAAGTTGCATTTATCTTTTTTGTTTAGACAAAATTTATTTTTGTTATTTATTTTTTTAAATCAAAAAATTGTTCTCATATTTTAATTTTAAACAGTAAAATTTGTATATTAGTAGAATAAGAGTATACGTTAATTAAGTATACATTGATCTAATGTTAATTATAAACTTTGTTATTATGTGAATTTAGATTTACACATAAGCAATCTATATATCTATGAATTTGGTAATTCATCCGTTTAGTTGTCTTAAATCATTTTTAATATCTTACATGTTTTGACAAACTAACCCGTATAAGACTATAATTATAATTATATAACCCTATAAATATTTATTAATATGGAATATTTGGACCAATTGATTATGAAAAAACATAATAATATATTTATTTACTCTTTGTGCTATTAAAAAAAAAATATATATATATATATATATATTAAACGAGCTAACATGTTAGTTTAATTATCTCAAATCATCTTAATGTCTTACATGTTTTAATAAATTAACTCATGGACCTTAAATATATATATATAACTCTAATTAGCTCGATCATATTATTATATAATATAAATATTTATTAATCTCAAATATTTGATATTTTAAACCGATTGTTTATGATAAAATACGATAAAATATTTATTTACTATGCATTTTATAAAAATATTATTTAAATGTAAAATTTAAAATTAAATCTTTCCTATATTTAAGAAATTCTAAAGTATTAAAATTATTATCTAAATTTTCGTAATAAAATTTAATTATAATTGTTTTTGATTTTTTTGAATTTAAATTAAATTGAATGCAAATTTTTGTAACTAAATTTAATTAAATTTCTAATAATTTGAAATTTAAATTAAAGATGACCTAGATTTTAGGAAATCTAAAAATATCTAAATTAATAACTAATTTTCGGAAATTAAGTATAAAAATAAAATAAAATATTATAAAAAAAAACTTTGGGAGTGTTTGGATGCAAGTACTAAATGTGCTTCTATTTTAATCTTCTATTTTAATTGAATAGATGTAAGACCATTAAATTTGTGCGAGTATGAAAATCAAACTGTTTTCCAATGAGTGGTTGCAAGTACTATTTTCTTCTTCTTCATGAAGACGAGCTTATTTTTGGGCCTCTAGGTTGAAAGCAGCCATATGGGCTGTAGAAGAATACGCATTATGCGCCATTAACTTGGATGAATATTGTTTAAATGGGTTTCGATTATCATATTGGAATTGTCTTTACGGTTTTACCTTCAAAATCAGAGTTTTGTTTTCTTTTCCTGTATTTTGTTTTTTCATAATCAATTTCACAAAATTTAGACAAATCTCTAGAACTTGCAGTTATAGTGTGAATTCTGAGCGACTTTGAATGATATTCTATATGGACAAGAATTTGGCAGTCTGTTTGATCTATCTTTTTTTACCCATTGATCCGAAAATCCTGTGAATAAACTGTTTACCAAAAACTTCTGCCTACCCAAATGATTAATAGAGTGTCAATGATCACCTTCGATTTAGAAACAAGAGGGAATGGGCGATGACTGATATGAAAACAATTTGAAAGGGGTTGAAACTATATACATTAAGAAGTGGAGCCCATTATCAGCCCAAATCTAAATGCTACATCATCAAATTTAACCTTCATTGTGATGTTGAGTCTCTTAATTTACCTACCATCCCTTCCTAGTTCCTAGGGACGGAGTTAGAGTGTTTTTTTTTTTCAAAGTTAGATTGTTGTTTTCTTTTACGTTTTGGTTAATGAATCCAATCATCGTATTAGAAAAAAATATAGAAAATGTTCTGTATTTAAGTTTAAAATATTTAACTAATTTGTAACTATTTTCTCCATGCATTTCATACTAAGTATTGTTTTCACATTTTTCACACAAATAAGATATACATTATATATATATGTATATATCTTATTTTATTTGCTAACAAACACCAATTTGACTTTGGTATTATGTTTTAGCTTATACTATATATATTTTTATATTAATTTGAGGTTAAATTAGATATTATATCTTAAAATTTCTATGAAAATTTAAGACGGCACCTATCTTAAAACATAAAAACTATAGTATATCATAACGGCATTTAGTTAACGAAATGATTTAACATCGGTTTCAATCTATCGCTCCCATACACAAATAAGCCCACACGCACGCACCTACGTAACGTCTCCCATAAATTAAACTCTTTTTTTCCAACTTAATATTTCCGCACACATTGCTGTAAACCATTAATATCTTTGTTGACATTTTGGAATATTATTGTTCAGTCAATTAATTTCTTGTCTGTCCCAATTTGACGTATATCCTTCAAGTTCACGGCAAAGTTTCCAATTCAAAGATATATATGATCGTAGAGAAGTAAAACCAAATAAAACTATATATATATATATATATATATACTTTTTGAATTTGATTGGTAACTAAATTTTAATGGAGCATGCAAGAAATTTTTGTTTTGAGGTAAATGTTCGATAGGAATTTTTTTTTCCTGGTATAAGAATTTCTAAACTGTAAAAAGAGCGCATGCATTGCTGTTGGAAACAATGTTGTGATAAGGGTTAGCGACACAATTAATATTTTGATAATATTTTCAAGGTTTGAAATTGAAACATAGACATGTATATCTTAGATATTATGGATAATATTAAGGATTAGTTTAATTAGTTGACCCTATATGTGTGATTTTCGTTGACTTGGACAATGTAGGTACATATCGACAAAGTCTGTAACTTGTGAACTACACACTAGAGGGACACATCAAAGCCTAAACACTACACAATTATATAAGCTTCCTAGAAATCGCGCCTAGTTAGTGGATAAGTGGATATCATTCCGTGTACATGTTGCGTGTTTCGTATTTCCTCCAACTTGTACGGACATTAATTAGGTCACCTTAAAACCTCTCATGTTTTCTTTTAGCTAATATAAGATCCAATAAAGTAAATCTCGAGACCTACATGAATACCGAAGTGATAAATTAGAAACGCAACAAATATTAATACATATAATCGTTCAACATGATGAATTTCATAGATACTAATTTGTTATTTTTTAGAGACTGAGGTTACATATATATATATATATATAAGAAAAAAATAATTAAAAAATATATATATATGTATATATATTGATTTATCATTTGTTGTCAGTAAAAAATTAGTTTATTCCCCGTGATTCTTATGTTTACAGTGGCCACAAATAAAATGCGTCTAATAGAAATCAATTTTTGACTTGAACCAAAACAACGACAACTTAAATTTGAAGATCGAGTTTATTCAACGGTACCAAATGCTACTGTCTTTTCGTTTTGGTTTGTTGCTTACCAAATACTATTGTCATCCGAGTCAAAAGTACGACATATATAATTGGATAACATTTGAAATTTCTGTCACAATGAAAAATATCGAGCTGTTTTTGTTTTTATTTAGAAAGGAAGAAGAGACAAAAGAAGTAATATAAGATTGAAGATGGAGGGGGGTTGAAGAAAGGTCCTACGTTATGGAGGAGGTGAAGGAAATTGGTCCACAGAGTGTCTCTCCTAGGAAATTCTTGAGGATCGGAGCAACGTGAACGTCACGTTAGTTGTCACTTAATTTGAATAGGACCCAAATTGGTTATTAAAAGAAAAATAGCAATAATAATTATTTATACATTGGCAATACTATAAAACTCA